TTCTCTCCTTGCAATCGTGATCGAAATGTGCTGTTATATTAAGCGGTTCTCCATTTACAGGGCGATGTTTTTGTCCTGTTAACCAGCCAAGAACTGCGGCTGGACTCACGTCCACAGCCTGATACTTCTGATTTTCCAGAATGTCATTTTCATCTGTAATGGTGTCCTTCTCATTCCAAGCTAGTGCTTCTGTGTAGCCCGTGATGTTCTTATCTTCCACAGTTGATAAGAAATCTTGAAAATGGTCCAAGACTGCCTCCTCAAGCTCCCATCTAAATGTTCCTTCTGCAGAATAATATGGTGAAACCAGTGAAAAAACATAATCTGAATCCACAGGACCACTTGTATTTCGCACAAACAGGTCCTTGCAGAGGGCAGCATTATCTTTAACGAGTGCATACACATTGCACTTTTTGAGCCCCTCGCAGAATTCTCTCAAGTAGAGTAAGCGCTTGCTTATTATGCTCACTTGAATAGTTCCAATAATGTCATCTTGATGGGTCTTGTCTAATGGGCCAGTGTATCCATGGTCTAAAATTGCGTCTCTCAAGCTATCATCAAATGAATCACAGTTTCTTATTTGTTCAAAGAGTTCCTTGTCGTTAGGAGTGAAATGTGTTTCAGCATCAAGTTGGTCAAGGTTGACTTCCAGTGTTAGCATCAATTCATACACAGACTCATCTAAAAACGATGGAGGAGGACCACCCTGTGCTAATGAAGCTGCGACAATTTCGCCGCATGTTTGAAAGCTTTTATTTTGAACATTGTATATGGAGTTAATGGGTGCTCCATCAGGGAACATCGATTTCCCAATGTCCAAAACGACACTTGAGAAAAATTCTTGGGACAATGCGCCTGTATCAATACCGTTTTCCCCAGAATATTGTATTCTTAGGACATTCTCTGGACAAGACTTGCATGCTTGCCGTTGCCAAAGGGAAATTATTCTTGGAAGTGGTGCTCCTCGGCGAGTAATGATGAAAAAATCACCATCTTGCTTGACATTCTTATGCATTTCACGCACTACACTTGCAGTATCCTCATGGGCTATGGTGGTTTTCTGTAGACTTGGAAAATCAAATGTAGAAGCAGTAAGATCTTCATTACTTACCTCGTCAAGCTTCTTTTGTAATTCTCTAGCCATGGCTTCATCTGATTCATATGTAGTGTTGACCTCTTCAATTTCCACAGTTGGTTCTGTTTTTCTCTTTTTGGGTGCTGAGCTTTCATGAAAGGGAACTTTTTCTTCCTTTTCATCCTCTTCATCATCATCTGTGTTAATTAAGAAGTCGCTCAGACGGCACAAGTACATGACAATCTTGGCATAATCCTTTCCCAGGTCCTCTTTATAGCGCTTTAATGAAAAGAACTCTTTGGGGCATGATCCCGGAATGAACTGGGCTTCCTCCCCATTTTCTAGAAGTAACACATAGTCTTCCTTGGTGTCAAAAATATCACTGTGGTAAGCCTTGAATTTGTCCATTGCCTTCTCCAGGATGACACTGCAGGGTGCTTTATTTGACACTGACAAAGCAATACGCTTCCCTCTCTTGGGTTTGAGGCGCATCTCCTTTTCACAAAAGTACATCATGCCTATCATAATTTGGACTTCTTTTTCCTCCTCAACTTGTTTCTTGGACACCATGGTTTTCCATTCTTTTCCCTTGGATTTTCTGAATTCACTAAATGACTTCACTGTTGATGGTGTTCTACCTGAAAAAAGTTTTTTGTTTTTGTAATTCTTTGAATCCAATAAAATATAAATGGTTCAATAATGCAGGGTGATAAATACTTGGGGTTGAGTATTAAAATTATATTAAAATGTGATGTCTATTGGTCTGTGAGGCAGATCTTTATCCAGGATTACAGAATTTCATGGTCATCTACATAAAGAGTTTTAGTGTGGGTGTTATATAAATGTGTATAGACATAAACATTTTGGAAACTTTTTTCCATTTTTGTGCAGATAATTATTATTATTGCAAGGATACCTAGAGGATCAGAGAGGCGTTACCGCCTCCAGTTATTGTACCACCAGCTGGAATAAGCGCATCTGCTGGGAAAACCAAAATGGGATACGAGCTGTAGGTTTGTAACGGTGACATGGAAGCTGAGAATATGGAGCTGGTAAACATGACAGGTCAGGACTAAAACCAATTCAAGGTCGCATTGACACTGCTAATATACAACTTTCTATTCAAGTTCACTAACAAGTTCAACAGTAAATATATTGGCTGGAAAGATTGTTAAGTGCAGCTTATGGTAATAAGTAGGTCAAAGGTCAAATTCATGGGCAGACAATGATTGCCAATATATGACTTCCTATTCAAGTTCAATAGTAACTATGGGCGCATCTTTTCTAGATTTGGATGTTTAAGGGTAGGAAAATTTGCAATGTTCAGTTCATGGCGAGAAGTAGGTCAAAGGTCAAATTCAAGGTCACAGAAATATTGCCAATATATGACTTCCTACTCATGTTCTATAGTAACTATGGCCACATCTCGGCTAGTTTTGGAGTATTCCACATTTTTATTTTCACCATTGAATATTGCGACATTGCACTTTTGATATTAGGCAACTCCGAAACCATAAGGCAAGCAAAAAAAACGAACACCATCTTCAGTGTTGGCCTTTCTAAGCTCTACAAAATGCAACAAACCAGAGGTCTCTAGCATTTATGGTTCCACAATTAGAGAGAATTTTTAGTTTTGGCATCTAATGGCTACCTCTCCCGTAAAAATGCACTGATTGACCTTAAACTCACTAAGATGTAAGGGGTACCTGATTGTAACCCCTCACTATAATATGAGAGCTTAGGTCTGTGTAGTTTCTGAAAATTGGCACAAGCAATTTTTTTTTTTGCCCAAAAAATTGCTATTTTTACCAATTTTTTGAAGATTTTATCTTGAAATAAAGGTCAAAGGTCAAATCTAAGGTCATATTTGAAATCTTCACATATGACATATGACTTTTGGAAGGTTATCTATAATAATTTTTTCCATAACCCCTTGGGTTTGGGAGATATTTAGCATTTGATTTTCAAAAATTTTGACAAGGGTGCACTGCAACGGATGCACGCCTAGGCAAATGCACCGACAGACACCAAAATGCAGGGGGATCAAGTTGAGATTATATGTGACCTAATTCCAAGAGATGGGGTCTTGGGCTCTTGTGGTCTAGGAGGAGAAGTGGTAACGGTGACTTGTATCCAGCGCCAGAACGCGGAGCTGGCGTAGCCGGCGCAGCCGTACGAGACGGGTCGGGGTAAAACCATGAGTACCGCCAGCGCTCACACTGGTGGTACTAATTATAAAGTTAAAACACAAGTCTGTGTTGCTGTGTTGTGTCAATGCAAAGATAAAATACAAAATTCTTCATGTTATGCATTCGTTAAATCACATCATCCCTATGCTCAAAACCTTAAACACTACATTTTATGCATATTTATACATGATATGGGGTGATGTTGTGATTTGTAACCTTTTTTGGGCAAAATGGATGTCAATTTTACAAACACAGTTCTTTGTTGTCATGTTAAAATGACAGAAGAATGCTAGACATTTTACACAAACACTCACTATCTCACTTGCTTTTCTTGAAGGACACAATGTGTTTGAAATTGAAAACAAAAATTTACAAGATTGTATTACTATATCAAGACTTGTGCATGACTGTGAAAACACTTTTTTACAGTATGAAACCCTATGAGAAGAGGGTGTGGGTATGGGTGTGGGTGTGGGGTGAGGATATGTTCTGGAAATACACTAGGACTGTGACAATTTAACCCAAATATTCTCTGGATAATAATGTACCTTGTGCATTTGTACTGGGACCAGGTTGGTTGAAACTGGAGTATGCCGCTGTGGGAAAAATTAAATATTCCATCAATTGTTTTCACTAAAAGCAACTGTATGTGGCTGCTAACCAGGCAAGGATAATGCACTTAACACACTACACCCTTTTTATAGAAAGGAAACTCCATGTAATCTTGCAAAAGAAGCACAACTTTACTAGGTGTCAAACAACTTTTGTGCACCACCTTATTGCTCATTCGCAGATTGCAGATTCCTTTCTTTGATTAAGCTTCATTCTATAAGAAATTGAGGGAGATGCAATTGGGTGGCGGGGTATTCTGCAGTTGCTTCCTTCAAATGTACCTCCTGCATTCACAAGATTTTTTAAATTGTATCCCCCACTATAAGAACACTGCCCCTCTGCAACATAATAAGCGATCGGTCCCTTACCTGAGGCTGGTCATGTAGAGGGACCAGGCAGGCTAAGGTTAAGTTGTGGCTTCACATACTGCAGTGCTGTTGTTTGTTGAAAACAAATAAAAACAAAATAAAGCTCAGTCAAGTTCACATTACTGTCTACAGCTTGAGCAAATTAAGCTAGAATTTTGAAACCGTTTACACTACAGCAAAAAAGCCCGCCAAAACTCAATAACTGATGTCGAACTAGATCTGTGGTGTTATCCAAAACTCAATCTCCTTGCTGATCTGATGAGTTGTCGCAACAAAAGCACTAAAAATAAGACCTACATACCTTTGTCACAATTTGTGACGATATTATGCCCACAATTCGAGCAAAAACTGCCGGTGTCTTCACGTTTATGTCCACAGTTTGAGCAAAACATGCCGCTTCGAATTCCTTGGGGAAAAGATGGCAGGAGGACGTAAACTGTACCCATGATGCATTTCAATTTCCTGATAACTCGTTCCAGTACCTTGCGACTTTATACGGCAGTGAACGGGGTTTAAATATGAATTCGGAGTGAGGTTTACGAATTCGGAGTGAGCTTTTTCAATTCGGAGTGAGGTTTACGAATTCGGAGTGGGGTTTACGAATTCGGAGTGAGGTTTGCGAATTCGGAGTGGGGTTTACGAATTCGGAGTGAGGTTTGCGAATTCGGAGTGGGGTTTACGAATTCGGAGTGAGGTTTACGAATTCGGAGTGAGGTTTAAGAATTGAGAGTGAAGTTTAAGTATTCGGAGTGAGGTTTAGAATTGGGAGTGTCGTTTGGAATTTGGAGTGCACTTGTGGGCCACCGCAGGGACTCGTCTGGTTGCACTAACACTATATGGTTTTGCACTATCTTTCAACTTAATATGTACTGGGTCACTCTTAAGTGTACCAACTGAATCTGCCTGTAACACTCTAGTTACTAAACCCATGTCAACACAAGCACTTCTTCCAAGCAAGTTCCTCACATTCTCTCTGACAACATGTACAGTAAATGTATACATTTTTTCTTTAAATTTTGTTTTTGCTACAAACTTGCCAATGTTGGTTAATTTTCCACCTGGACTATTCAACACTACTGTGGTGGGAGAGAGTGTGGGACTTGGCTTTAGACTTTCATACATTGCCTTACTAATTACACTGGTATCTGCCCCTGTATCTATTTTGAAATCTACAGACTGACCATTCATGTCTAATTTAACATTCCATTCTGAATCATTACTACTATTCTCTGTAAACAATGATCCAAGGAAACATTCTACATCATCAGTGTCATCTGCAATAACTTCATGAACACTACCCATTTGTTTACTAGCACTGCTTTTAAAAGTACGAGTGCTCCGACACACGACACCAAAGTGTCCAATTCTATGGCATTTATTACACTTTTTGTTTTGTGCTGGGCATGTTGCATGTCTGCGGTCTAGTATATGGTTACATTGTCCACATCGTCTGGGCTGACCTCTTTGTTGACTGTTTTGACCTCTGGGTTTACCTCTGGCTTGTCTATTTCCTTTCTCCACTTCACTCACGTTTGCAACACTTGGATTAGTACTGTTTTGTAATTTGATCAGTTCCGTACTGCGAACAATCTCTAATGCTGTTTTCAGGGTCAAGTCGGCTTTTAATTGGAGTTTTAATGAGCAATCTCTGTCGGCGATTCCAATTACAATAGCATTTCTTATCTCTTCCTCCTTGTTGGTGAATTCACAATTTTCTGAAAGTTCCACTAAGTTTCTATAAAAAGTCTCAATTGATTCTCCAGGTATCTGTCGACGTTGACGGAATCTTGCCCTTTCATGAATAATATTCCTCCTTGGAATGAAATACTCGTCAAACTTAGCAATAACAACGTCAAAATTCTCTGCCTCGGGCTCACCTTCTGAATTTTCTGCCATAGCATCTGCTGTGGATAGCTTAAAGGTAGAAAATATATGTTCTGCATCCTTTCCCATAGCATAAATCAGAGCAGATACTTGTATTCCCCCGGCTTCCGAGTCCAGTTTAGTGGCCTGTCTATATCGGATGAAGCGTTGGCGCCATTCCGGCCATTCGTTTGGCGCGTGAAACCTTAAGTTCTCCGGAGGATGGAATTTAGCCATTACGTCAATGGAATTGAGTTTCCTCTCTCTCTCTAGTACCCCTAGAGATAGTTCAGTCCGATTTTTCACGGCACTTCTTATCCCGCTTCTGACACCATGTCAAATAAAGACGAACACGCTAATTCACACGTGTCTTTTTATTCTCATTCTTCTGTAACTACTCACAGGTGGCACTTTAGGCCAAGACGTATATGACAATCTTCTTCGTCTTGTTGTTGCACTAAAATCGACAAACACATTTTTCAAAGCAACTGTGACCATCATTTTCTTTCTCTCTGCACATGCGTCCAGGTATCAGAATTTCCTCCAAGTGCAACTGAGAATTAATTACAGCTTTGGAAACGACTTGCTCCCCCTCATCACTTGACAGGAATCCATCAAAATGAACACAAGGTTACTCCAAGGTAGATCAAATTTCTTGATCTCCAGATGTTCAAAGAGGTTTTCACTAGTCACCTTTGCCACAACAAATGACCCCAGATGATTTAAAGATGTGCTGCTTTTTCTCTGAGAAATGAGCAACAAGAACCGTCACTACTTTTTCATGATTACTGTTCATGGCTTCGTCAAGGTTTAGGCTAAATGGAGTGGAGCGGAGTTCCTGCAGCCAGGATTCTGAGAAGGTCTCTGCAACTCCATACTTCAGCTTGTAGGAAGCAGCATGCGCACCCAGCTTCCTTCCCTTGCAGGTTGATCATTTGACAGGGCCCTGGGGGGCCAGCTGCAGACTTAAGGAATGCTCTGCTATGAAGGACACAACCTGAAAAATATACATGCATGTATGAAAGAGAGAGAGAGAGAGAGAGAGAGAGAGAGAGAGAAATTGTTAAGAGGCTTTTGATATCTAAAGAATAGCATACATTTGGTTTGATAATTTTAAGGCAATTTAAAATAAACATTAAATTGCAATATTCTGAGTTGTGACTGAAAAACTTACCATTGCCTCAGAGTTGCTGGCTCGATCAGAAACAGGAGTCAAAGAAGGCAGATCACTCTTCTCGGCTTCATCAGTAACCTTCTTACGTAGTTGTGGGTTCTCTCCATAAAGACTTGTCCTCTGAAGTGGTTGTCCTGAGGAACTGAAAATGAGATTTGATATTTTTTCTAGAAAAATTTACAATTTCCATCCCATTTCCAATGAAAATAAAAACTTGATTTGATATTGTCAACCATTATTGAAAAAAAAAAACTAAATTAAAAAACAATAATAGAAAACATGACTCAGACCTTAAATATACGTAATACATCATACCCTGTAGAAATTTCAATAAAAAGTCTTTTTCTAGTCTTTTTATTCTTCATAATTGAGCTTGTAAATAAGGATTTAAGTGAAAAAAAAATGATGAAATCACACCACACATGTTTTTGCCTAACTATCAGAGGCCAGCGATTTCCAGTTTAATGGATGTAAAGTAGAATAACAATTACTTGACGATCGCCGTGTCAGTGTATAATATTATCTAAAGAAAACTATACAGAAGTCTCATCTCAGATGCTATGTGTCAAATAATCTATCAGCCATCATATCTGTATTTCAACCAAGCTTGATCAAATAGTTAGGGAACTTTGTGATAACTGCATTCAGTTAGGCAAGATCGTAGTGTAGGACTGAATGAAGAGCGAGGTTACAACATTTATCAATCAAAAAAATACACAACAGATACACAAATATTGGAGATAAAAATATTGAATGAAGAAAAAATCACATCATTATTATACACAACAGAGAATTGAATTAGCAGAATAAAAGTGCCATAGACTTCGTCACTTGTTTTACTTACCTCCAATTGTGGTATTTCCTTGAAGACCTTTCTTTGCCTGTTTCGCTGTTTCCATGTGGCTGAAGATCGAAGATTTGCCTTTCTTTACGTAGTAGATTTTGCAATCGCACACGGTACAGTAAGCCACCCCTTCCACCGCAATTTTGCAAATGTGGTCGCCAAGTCTTTCATCTCCTACCAAAGTGTCTGGCCATTTTTTCCAACTCCACAAATTCTTGACATTTTCGGTAAAAGGATCGCCGCGCTTGATGACAATGTGGCTTGCCATGTTGATCTGGAACCCACAATGCCTTGCGCACAAGGCCTCACCATAGGGATTGTATCTGCGACAGCTAAAGTCAGCCAGTGCTGTGCTTGCAAAACCATCACAAAACGATTTATTCTTTGATTTTTTTAAAAAGTCGGAAAGGGTTCTTAAAAAAGTTGGATTGTGATCACAGAAAGTTGAAAATCCTTCGAAAATTGGACTAATTCCAGGCTTTGAACTTAACATGAATCAATGAACTTGCCATGTGCTTTTTCCATGCTCGCTTTTTATTACTACATCACTCACCAAGTGATGGTTTTGGTCAAGACATGACCAGTCAGTAGTTACATGTTTTGGATGGCAGCTGTGTTACCTGTTTTCATATTTCCTTTTGTGGTTTTCTCTTTTGTGGCCTGCATTTCACTCATCATGGTGTTAGCCAGTAGTTAAGATTTCTTTATTGCCTCCTTTTGGCTGGACTTCAGCTCTGTCTGGTCAATGAGGTTGTTGGTTTGCTTGCCTGGGCCCCATCGTGCATTGTGACCGAGCGCAGGAGTCTCGATTCCATAACTCGCCAATACTCGCCCCATATAATACACTGTAGTCTCTATTCGCAATGCGCAATGCTTTCAAGTTAGGGGGCCCAGGTGTTAATTCTCCACTCTGTAGCTTCTTTTTTTCAATCTCTGTATTGATCTCTGAGATATCTTACACTTCTTACTTAGTTTCAACTTTTCTTGCTCCAACTTTCTCATTGGTGCTTTTACATCTGACAGTCTCCCTTTCCATCTTTAAACAGCACCCTTTTGCCTGTTTCCAAAATTCATTTGAACCACAAGATTGCGATCTCTTTCACTTTCATACCCACTGGTTTCAGCAATTTCGTTGTGTGCCCTTTCTTCACATTTTGTATAAGTGTTGATTTCTTTTGCAAATCTATGACTGCTCTAGTGTGTCCCTTTGCCCAACATTGCTGTAGACCTCCAGACTTCTACATCTGTATAAAATAATTTTCCATTTTGCTTTTTTATTTCTTGTTAGTCATTCTGCCTTACACATTTCCGAAGTTCTTGTGTGCATATGTGTCATGAGCCCCTCACCCTTTTTCGTTTCCATTTGTTATCTGATTTTGCTCTCAGAAGTCCACCTTGCTAGCAAGATTTTGAGAGACTGGTTTACATAAATCCTCATGTAATGGCACTTGCACATTTATTTGACACAGGGACACAGTTTACTTTTTATCTGGATTAATGACGAAGTGTGAGCAGGGTATTAGGGAGTTGAGATGTGTGAATTAAACAAGATTTAGCAGACATAACGCAATGATCTAGACAGCAATTCATCAGGGTCAACAAGTACACATAGCAAGACTGAGGTCAGCAGACACATTTTTTTTTTTACTTTCTTCAATTTCATTATAAAGAAAAAATGCTTTTAGTGAATAAGAAGGCAGCATACATGAAATTGCTTTCACCTTGCCTTTTTTCCAATACAACCTTTACATATGTCTATCACCCATTAAATCATAAAAAAACATTAAAAATGCCCATCATAATATAATTCATTTAATAATTTTGGAAAATTTCAATTAAAGGGATAATAACTCTTCGTTTTGGTCAAAAAAGGAATTTTCCTGGAGTACACAATTTTCCCATACTAACCAATGGTTAATGAATCCATTTTTACATTCAAAGTTAGTCCCTGTTTTTTTTCTAAAAAGTTTGATTTTTTGTTAAAATCTCTTAAGAGATTATAACAGAGTACAGTCATCAATGGAGGTCACATGGTCTTAAGACCAACTCAGATATCAGAATAATAGCTATAACTGCTGTTTTGTGGTAAAACAGAATATATTTCTGTGAGTTATTCACAATGTTTTTTTGTGAAATACAAATCTCATACGAAGAGTTATTATCCCTTTAACTGGAGTGGCAAAAAATTATAAAGACAATGTGCAAATGGAGGGCAAATTTTTTATTTTACATTTTTCCTTAAATCTTGTATTAATTTTTTTTTTTTTTTTTTGTCATTTAACCCATAAGTTTATTGAACACTTTGGTGTAATTTTCATTTGGTCTTGTATTGTTCGTATAATAATTCTAGTCATTTGAACTGGAATCAGGCCAAAAAATCAAGAGTGCTTATTGTATTGTTTTTAATATATAAACCAGTTTTAAAAGTTTTTAAAGTTAGTGTAGTAGAAAACCGCTAAACATATAGGGTTTCTGCATTTTTTTTTATTGGAAATGTTACAATTGTATGGGACATTACTGCTATTCAAATCTGTAGTTAAATTATATTTAAGGGCTAGAAGTTGTAATTTTACATTGCAAGTTTTGCTTTCTTGGTTAAACAGTTCTCTTATATTTATTGACATTGTAATGAAAGTAATCACTATCTTTGGAACAACATTTTAAAAATTTACTGACACAGCTACATTTGGCTCTTGTCACAAGAGCATCATCAGTTCTGTTACAGTAGGCAAATGATAAATTGTATAAGCTGCTGGCTGTTACGTACATTCTTATGAGATATAAAAATTAAAATAAAAACATTTTAATGCATTAAAAAACATACATTTTCCTTGTAATTAGATGTGAAGGGACAGATGGTTTCAGTAGTCATTTTCATGTTTGTATATAATCCAATAACTGCATTGTTATGCAATGATTTTAGGAATACAATAGAATGGTGTATTAATTAAATTTATTAACTCAAATTATGTAACACTGTACAACTGAGAATACTTGTAATGAAAATCTTGTATAAAGAGCTTGTACTTTCAACTTGTATCAACGATGGTATTGCGCTTTGGTTTAAATGTCAACACCAACAACATCATAGAGATTATGAATATTTCAAAGCCTTCCATTGCGAACAAATATTCATACAATTTTTTTATGAACTGTGAAATTCTAATCTGAGCTCAGTAGAAATACTCCAAAGCACTGTGCAAAAGGCTTCTTGCTGTT